AGGAAGGAAGGAAGGAAGGGAGAGAAAGATAACAACAAAGAAGAACCAAATAGAGGGAGAGCATATCTTAATTCTTTTTGACTGTTTTCCCTCTTTCACTAGCCACTCCATTTCATTCCATGACCCATGAGTCAAGCCAGGTTGGCTTTTAACTATTTGTATTGCCCCAAATTAATAAATACTGAATCCAAATTTCTCTGATTATTTTTCTCTTTGATTATTTTTCAGGTAGTGTCTATGAAATAAGCTGGAACAACATGGGTCCCAGACAAGAGAAATTACACATTGACATAAAGAAAAGGTGTCTTATAAAATTATTTCTTTTACTTCACATGATGAAATGAAGGCATTGTAGAAAATAGTTTAGTTATCTTATGATTAAAGCAGCTAGCTAGTGGAAAAGCCTGAGAGAGAGAGTGGGGTGACCAATCATATTGATAAAAATTAAGAATAGACAGTGAACTAGGACTTTGACCAGGAATGAACATTCCTCAGACAACATGGAATGTGGCCTCTCCCTCTTAAAGAGAGGCTCCACCACTACTGAACTTCTGAATTTTAAGGAACTTAAAATATAATGAACCTCCTCCAACATGAAATACAGCCCACCTCTTTCTTAGGATTTTTGAGATAATTATAATGTAAAATACCTAGTTCTTTCTAAGATCCCAGTTTACTATAAGTACTGTAAGTACTTGTGAAAGAACTTGGCTAGAGAGTCCCAATTGATCATTTTAAATCCACAGAACCACTTGTGATAAGTGGCCACGAAACAACTGAGCAATTCCTGTGCTCTGTTTATCTATACTATAATTAGCTCTAGATCAGGGGGCCATGTATCCCCCCCAAAATTTGGGACTTTTCTTGGAAACCCAGGAGCTATTCTCCTTCCCCTTGTTTCCAATAAAAACTCTCCTAACCACCACCTTTTGTTTGTGACTTCATACCTCAACTTCTGCAGAACTATGAGCCTGACACACACAGAATCGACCTAAAAGTGTATTTTAAAAAATTATTTGAATTTTATAGCTTAATAATATATTACTGTGTGCTTTTTAATGTTGATAAAATCGAGCTTCTAGAATGCTGTTCTGACTCGTGTAATTTCAAAGCCAAAATTCTAGAATGACATTCCACCATGCTCCCCCATACTTATTAAAATAGGTATCACTAGTCATACTGTTAATGAAGTCAAGTTTTTCTGATTTTTATTTAAACATATCACATGACAATTACTTAATACCAGATGTATTATGTCTATGCCATACTCTGACTGACCTGTGTAGTGATCCATAAAAAAAAAGGAAAAGGAAATGAGATTGGTTTTACAAAACAATGTTCTTACCAAATTCTTACCAAACTTGCCTCTTGTCTTCATGTCTCTTGATAATCATATTGATTTCACTACAGCTATACATAGGGCATCACACTATTCAAGAAAAAATAAACTGCCTTATTTTAAAGTAGGCTTCTTAGTAGTGAAGTTAAAATATAAAAATGATTGTCACCTAGAATCATAACAAGATGAAATCATGTTTTTTTCTATCAAAGAGACCATAAGGGGAAAGGGTGGAACTTTTGGGCAATTGTGCCAGCAGCCTTCACTCAGTAAATGTGGTGTAAAGTCATAAGTTGAAAGTGTGAGAGGCAGAAGAGTCATTTTAGAAAAGGTATGAGAGCTTTAGGGTATCCTCAGAACCAAGTATTTCAAACTGAAATGTGTCCAAGCACATAAAATTCCTGCTGTGAACTCTGTTGTTGCTAAAGCTCAGGAAAAGAAAGAAACAAGCAGCAACCTACTAAATACTGTCAGAGCCCTGTCTTGAAATTAGAGTCTTATCCCTAAAATTCCAGACAGAACAGGAAATAATACTCCAAATGTTATCCTTTTCCCCTTGACTGTGAAAGAATATTAAAAGTGATCATCCTCTTTTCTCTTTGGTTCACAGGAAGAAACTTACAAGTCATCCAATTTCAGTTAATATCAAATTGATCTCTATTAATAGAAAAATCTAACTCAGCATTGCATTTTCATTGGCTTGAAAAATGATGCTCAGAACCATCTGGCTAAAATTAAAGTTTAGCTTCTCTGCTTGTCTCAAAGTTGAGTGACTGTTATTCTTCTGATTTCAAGCAAAATTATAATCAAACACTGAAGAGGTTAATCTACACCTATTCTCTGTTTTAAGTTACATATTTTAGATGTCTTTTATAATTATTTGACAAAGAAATCTGCACACATATCTAGCTCTTTAGACATTTTGTTTCATCTACTGCATACTAGAACACTCTGTATTTGTTCAGATATTTTGGCTGTACAGATGGGTTCATAATTCATAATGGAAAGGGGAAAAAGAAGATTTGTCAGTTTGATTTTCAACCTGTCTTTTTATATATCTTGAGGATATATAACCTCCCCAAATGTTTCAGAGACTAAAGAATTGACATTTTTGTGCTCCTTTTCTTCTCAGCTGCTCATTTTATATTTAATGTTTGAGCCAAAGCCTTCTCACTCCTACTCAATGGAGCAGAACTCTCTTGCTTCTCTTGCCTGGAATATTTGTGTCAACCTAAAATTACTTCTTGGAGAAATCTTTGTGTTTCTATAACAATCCCTGAGCCTAACTTTATTTAGAAAGATGGTGACCCTCCCTCTTATGAAAATGGATAGGTCATTATTTATCAAGCCACTCCATTTAGATTTTGAGCCATGCTTAGTGTTGGAAGTTTTCTTTTATCAAGCAAAGCTTAGACAAGAAGTTATTGGTTTTATTCTGACATGGGAAGCCAAATACTATATCAGTCTGTACCTTTCCATATACATGTACAAGCTTGTGCTGGTTAATGGCACTTCTGTCAATACTGGAACACATACACAAAGGTGATCTCATGAAATTGTATTATTTAGTGGTACTGTATCCATATTAGAGTGTGTAAATACACTATGATGTTCATACAACAATGAAATCACTGAAGGACACATCTCTCTGAATGAATCCATATAATTAATAAATTCATAAGTGTGCATCATCTTTGAAGGAATCTATGAAATGGTAACCAATAAAGGCAGTTTAAGAAATAATAAAGATAGATAAGATAAAAAATAGAGTTAGTTTGATTTGATAATAAAAGTGTCCAGTCAAAATAATTCTTTTTGGTAGAGTCAGAAGGAAAGAGACAGAAGTGCCAATTCTGGGTTTCTATTGAATAATCTTTTTGATTTATATTTCCCATCTGAGAAGTGAGAACATCTGCTTCCAAATCTAGTCTTCAGCAATAAATACAAAACAGTATGGTTATGTTTTAAAATTAACTCTCTACCAATAGAAGTAGGTTACATATTAGGAAATCAGAAGTATTTAACTACTGAGGAAAATGCATGTGATTCTACAGATTCTTAAACATTCTCTAAGAAGGAAGGAAAAAGGAACTCTGTTTAAATTATGCAACTTAAATTTTAGCTCCTCTGTGAAACTTACCCTAGCTTCAGCATTCATCATCTTCAACCATATCTGTTTCCTTTGAATGGTCTATTTGTGTAATGGTCATAGCCCACTTTTGCATTATGGTTTATTGTGCACAAATAGCCCTTCCATTTGTGTTGGCTACTGGAAGACAAGACAGTTAACCACATTTGTATCCCAGACACACGAAGAGGGATCAATAGATATTAACTGACTTGATTTAGAAGTTGAATTACTTCATTTCCCAAAGACAAGCTGAATAGATTCTATTGATTTGTTCCAAGGTCACAGATGTTGATGGTTGGGAGTGAAGCTGATTCAGCTTTCCTGTACAGTAGACAGGCTTATTCTATACACACCATTCATAAATTTTATGAAATCGTGATCCTAACAATGTCTTTTAAGCTTTCACACCTAGGATATGGATTATTCTTATATTTTACAATTCACAATATTGAGTCCATTATTATCTTGGATTAGAGGATGTTTTTGTATCATAACTGCCCTGAAATGAATACCATGGACAGCCACACATTTTTACATTAAGTAGTTTTACACAGACACATTAAAACCATTTATACAATTTTTAGATCTTAAGTCACATTATTTAATTACTTAAAGATTTTCAAGGGATATCTCCTCATCAGGAAAAGAGAGAATTCTATTCTTATTAAAATTAAGCAAATTAATTCTATTGTACAAAAACAAATTTAATAATAATGAGATAGCTGAATTCTGAGCTGAAAATAAGAATACTAGTAAAAAAAAAAAAAAAGTACAGCCGAAGGGCAAAAATAAATGATTCTGTGTGAAATTACTGGCACCAACCCCACCAAACCTAAGCCTAGGACATCACCATAGATACTGTTACTGTGGAATAATAAAGCTTCCATGATATCTGACTGGATTTAATGATACCTAGCCAAATTCTGAAGTCATCTAAAGAAATACACAATCAAGAAGATAAGAGGAAGAGGGCCAGGTCCTGGATGTTTTAACCATGCCTTCTCATCCCATTGGTGACCAAGGAGAAACAGAATTGACTAGGTGAAACCTACATCCCCTTCTGAAGGGAAGGAAGGTCTGCTTACCTCTGGGTGTTCACAGTGATGTCAAGGAAGCAATGGATCAGGAAGTGAACATCAGTGGTGTGGAACCTCTTTAGTCTCATTTCCCCTCTCTATCCCTATCCTTTGAGGGACTGAGCCCAAATGGACCAGTAATTTTAAGGAACATTCAATACATGAGAAACAAATACTAAATTCTCAGGTATATGAAGCAGGATGCTTTGCAACTGTGACCAATTAAGTGACCTTTTATCTCTTCAAAGCTTCACTTTACTAATCAGTAAAGTTAAATGCTGGGATTGAATAACCTCATCTAATTACTTAAGTAATTATGAGATTGCAATAAACTTGTATATTTAGCTTGCCTACATTTTATTCTTAGGACTTCTTAAGACTAAAAAGCAAAGAGATACAAGTACCTGTGAGAGAAATTAAACACCATCTTTCTCCTCCACATTATCCCTTGTTGTTACAGCTATTATTATAGTCATGTTCATTATAATATGGCGGAATATTTTTCAGAGTTCTATTCTGTTTCCCAAAGCAGGCAATTTAGTTTCTGTGAGTTTATAGTCTTTGACCAGTACTAAAAGAACAACTCAACTCCTGTGACTAAACCCTCACATAACTTCATGTAAAAATTTAACTTATTTATTATTGTGTTTGCTGTATACTTCCTCAGCAAACCACCTGTCCTTCTTGGCACCTCTTTTTTTCACTTATAGCTTATGATAATAGTTACTAATCTGTATTCAATAATGATAGTAATGGCAACATTTTTAAAGAAGTTAGTAATTGATATTACTGACATACTCCATTTAACTTTCTATACACATCCTCTTTTGTATTCTTTCTCAATAAATATAATTTATGAAATGAATGCACTCTCACTGGACCTCATGGCACACACCTGTAATGCCAGCTCCTTTCTGCAAGGCTGAGAATTGCAAGTTCAACCCCAGCTTGGGCAACTTAGTGACTTAGCAAGACCCTACCCACACCTCGTCCAAAGCGCTGGGAATGTAGTTTGGTGTGAAGGTCCTAGATTCAATTCAGTCCCTGCTATAGTAAAACAAAACACAAAAGGCACTGTGAACCTGTCTCTAGGCTTCACTTCTACGGGATAGTTGTAAAAATATATGCACCACAGGATTCTGTGACTCTCTGAAGACGTATACAGAATATTAGTGATTCTTTGTGCTATATCCTGTATGAGAAGATGTACTCTATTATTGCCATATTTGAGATTTAGCTTTTTTCTTTTAGATACAAAATGAGAAGTGATATTAAAGAAGGCTTGGGACAATCATTTTTCACTATTTCAGCTTTGAATCAAATGCTACCAGATGATATAACATAGATACGATTTTCTCAGTCACATATAGCCTGAATTTTGCAGTGACATGAAAGTGATGTGTTGTATAAGGAATGTTTTGTGTAAAGTAGTTGTGAAAGTAATGAAGTCTGATCATAATTCCACCATATCTAAAACACTTTAGTGGCATCCCACAACTCACCGTTGAAGCTCAAACTCCTTAGCATAAAATGTAAATAACCTTTGTTATTTTGTCCCTACTTATCTTCTATTCCTCATCTATTAATATCACATCCTGCATTCCTTTTCTTTATGTTAGAGTTGAAGATGCAGCATTCCTAAATGACTTGCAGTTTTCAGAACATACTACTCTTCAATGACCATGCTTGCTGCTATTCATGTTGTTTGGGTTGGGTGTGGGCCCCCACCTCTAATTCTTCTCTCCCCTAACCAATATTTTTCCTTCAAAATCATAAATCATAAATCTGGAAACATCAACCATGCAGAATAATGAGTAGAATCTGGAATGAAATCTAAATAGGTTCCTTAAATATGCTAGAATCAATGTCACAGAACTCTAACTTAGAATCTATTAATTCTAAGAAATTCTAACTTAAGTACTGTTATTTAGTTTCAGTGTTTATCATAAGTGAAGAAACAACTTAGAAAGCAGATAGGTTTATAGAGAAGCCCTGGTAATCAGTAAGAAGTTGAAAGATGAGATTCAAGAAAGTAGTAAAAGAAGAGATGGGAAAAATTTAAAACATTTATGAAAGACTAGAATATAAGCAACCTAAATTTTTCACATGAAATTTCATTATGTATAGAGTATACTTAGTATACATTGGTAGGAAATTCTAGGAAGCTCACAATAAAATGTTTAAGAATTACAAAAGAGATGATATTACCTGAATGGATTAAATTTATGTATAGTACAGTAATTGCTCTATTCTATATAAATATAATACTGCTTTGCTTGGAAGTCTTGACACGTAAGAACAAAGTTGTTCTATTCTAGTGGATAATTATACTAGCGGATAATACTCAACTGTTATATATTACTTTCTTCTTCATTTTGAATTTTGACAATACTTTTCCAAAGGAAAAACTAAATATTTGTATGTTATTCATACAAATTTGGCTATACCAATTTATGATATTTGTATTCAAAGAGAATGATAGGTGTAACTCTCCACACACAATAGCGATTTGTTCAAACCATATTCTAAAACCTTATCATAGATGTTTTGTGATGTAAAAACATCAGCTGTCTGACAGTCCATACTAATACTATTGTAAGGATGAAGCAACATTAACTCAATTGAGAGAAATGGTAGCACAGAAGAGCATCCTGTGCCCCATTGCAATGCTTAAGCAAGATTTTGGGAAAGGGACACTTATTTCCACTAATGTACATTTTAATTTTTTAAAAAGTCCACAGTGTGTCTTTCACTGTTACAAAAAAGGGGAAAGATATTCTCAATAATGAAGTCAGGTTCTCTTTTTCCATGAACTAGATATTTCCTTAATGGATGAATAATATCATTACTTCTTTCCTTTGAGCTGTAACTAGAAAAGCCTTTTTTTGTTTCACTGCCCTTTACCAAGTAGGGGTGAAAAATGAGTTTCCTCTAAGTATTTTTCATTCACAGCCTCCTTTTTTATTTCTCCATTGTGACCTTCTTATATAGAACATATTTCTGAGATTTAAGGCTTTTGTAGCTCTTTTTTTAACACCAAAACCGAAACACTTTGTCTTCTTATATACATAATGAAATACACACATCCAAAAAAGAGCTTAAATATATATATTCTATTGCAACCATTTCTCTTCCTAAAAGATTGAAACTTCACAAATTAAGTGGGCGTTAAAATAGCAAACATACCTAGTACATACCAGGGAAATGTATGATAAATTCGGAAAGTAATTATCTCATAAAAGTTCCTCAGTCAAGAGCCTAGTACTTATGTGCCTTTTCTAATAATCTCTAGAGCCATCTAATACTGAAAGAGACCTTGGAAGAAACACTGAAGTACTTGGAACTGAAGCAAGGCTGTTTACAATGATACCTGTCTCTGGGTGGGAAGCCTCTTTTCCAATCTTGTTCACACACAACAGATTGCATCTGAGAGCAGCTTTGGAAAAAGCACAGCTTCTGAGCAGAAGTAACCTCTCCAAGTGTGGTCCTGCTGGAATGGATTCCAGAGCTTACCACTTAGCCTTATAAGCTGGGGTACCATGACCCATCTGCTAATGTTAAGATTCTTGATAGAAATGCCTAGAATACAGTTAATATTCAACAAACTATAGTTGTCTACACAATTAATGTTCAACAAACCTTAGTTATTTCTATGATTACATTGACTAGGTATGCAGGAAAGAAGGCATGGGTAAACCCCCCCACCCCATGGAATCTGCTTTCATCACACTTATGTAATAACAACACACGAGAGAACACACAATCATTTCCTTACTCTCCCTGGCTATATATGGTTTTGTCAGTCATTTTACAATGAGGTCTGGATATTTCTGTTTTTTTAAGCCAAATAAGGACAACAGAACAAAACTCTAGAGTTCCAGAAATGCCATCACTAATGAGAAAGTTATCGGGGCTCAGGGTCACTCTCAGAAGAGATGCTGGCTGGCTGTCTCTTCTGAGACTGATGTCATACTGATAATCTCAGCAGAACGAGGTGCAAAAGCAGAAATCAGTTATCAGTTCTATGTGGCTTCCTTTGAGTCAAAAATAGTACTCTTTATTTCTGCTTCCCAGTGAAAGGCAGCAGAGAAGAGTTTAAATGATTTGATTGGTTTAGTGACTACAGAGACAGCTGAGGTGAAAGAAATGATTAGTCTGAAACCAAAAAGGAGCATAGTGACTTGGTTTGGAATCTAAATCAGATTTGGGAAATCACCTGATTCAGCTAAACGAAAAACTGTCTTCATCCAAAATCCTTTTTCATCAAACATGAGAAATGTGAACAACTAGAAAACAAAGCAAAGCAATATTCGAGGGTATTAGCAAAGGAAAGTTGTGATGCTTATAGAAACAAAATGTTAATAATTGTGGCCCACGCAGTGTGTGCTGGGGATATGACTGTACCTAGTTACATAGCTGGGGCTGTGTAACTCCTCTATTCCTTCAGTGCCTCTATTCCTTCAGAGCTATCTTCTCTATCTTAACTAAAATATTGAGTTTTAATTTCAATTTGGGGGGAATTTTTTATCCTCTTTACATTTTCTAGAGAATAAAAGTAAAATATTAATATCATTTTTTAAATGCTGTGTCTTACTGTTTAGAAAATGCCAAATGAGGGGAACTAACACAGATACATTTAATTTTGTTTGCCATGTACACAGTTAACCCTTGAGTGGTTTGCTAAGTACTTCACACGAACTATCTTGTTAATCCTCAGTAACTCAAGAAGATAGGGAGATCTATTTTTATTTCTAATTTAAAAATAAGGAAATAGTCTCAGGGAAGTTCAGCAATTTGTCAAAATAATATTAGCTTAGAGGAGGCAGCAGCCAGCCCAAGTTCACTTGCCTGTGAGCCTTTGTTTACTGCAATTCATCACAATGCCCAGCCCGCCCAGGAGAATGGATTAACTCTGCCATGCTCTAAGTTTCATAAGGACATAATGGGTGCCTCTATGAGAAACTGCCTTCTCTCTAGGGAGAAGACACTGAGGATTCTAGAGGTGTTGTGCACTAAGACTACTTAGGACTGCCTTCTTCCTTTTGTGGGGGCTGAAATCTCCTCCTTGGTGAACCAAAGAATCTCAAGACCAAGTGCACTGCCTCACAGAGCAGGAGTTCAGTGATGTGCATGAATAGGGATTCCTGGAAGAAAAGAATGAAAAGTAAACAGCTTATTTGGAAAGAGTCTTTGAGCTTCAGAAATGAATGGAATTCATACTTTTAAATAGAGGAATGCAATGTTTGGCATATAAACTTCTTGCTTCAGGTTGCAAATAATTAAGTCAGATTCTTCCCATAACCCAGAGCTTTCCTTGTTCATGATGAAATCACTCAGGACTTTTGTTATTCCACTTCATTCATTAGCACTGACAATGGTTGAGAAGAGACTAAGACAACAATGACACTGAGACTTTGCTGCGTTCCCACGTTACTTGTTGAATCATTTCTGACCCAGCTCCAGAACCGACACTAATGAGTCTGGTCCTTGAATCCCTCCTCTGAACTGAGGATGAACCTCAGCACCCAGCTTTTCTTAGAGACTATATGGAAGGGTAATCATCTCATATACTTTATTTCTTACATCTCAGCTACAATGCTGACTCCTGAAGGCCAAGGACCAGAGTATACATGTCTTTTTAATCCTGGGGTGCAAGGAAATAATGTGACAGTCTTTTACAAGTGATTAACCAAACCAAGGTGCTATTATTATATGCTTTTAGAAGTCCAGCATAACTCTGAGCATACAGAATCATAACAATTTGCAACAGCAAAGAAACTTTCATATCTGCTGGGCATTGTTCCAAGGGCTGTGTTTGTATTATGTAATTCAGTCTACACAAGTTCTTTGTAAGACAGACTACAACTGCTTTTATAGCTCCGATTTCAGAGCTGGAACCTAGTTTTCTGATCCTAGTTCCAGAGTGCCTTGACTACAATGCACCTGCTGACATGAGAGGTAATTCACATATGTAATTTCTGTACAATTTTAGTATTTTAGAGGAAAATTATAGCAATTTCAGTTTTTTAGCCTGTTGCATATTCCATTCATGACATGAGTTACCGTTTATAAAACAGTAATACATAATCACGTGCTGTTTTAAAAATAATATCTTTACCCCTTAATATTAGACGAAAGAATATTGCCAACTAATGAATGGAAAGACTAGCTAACAGTAGTGAGTGATGTGAGATTCTGTTTGATGAAGAGGCCCAGAGCAGGAAAATAGGGTTTAGGCTTTGTTCATTTGTTTTGATTTTTAACTTATTTAAAATTGTACAGTATTTCAAAAATGCAGAAAAATACAGAATATATTATTTATGCAAGGATCCATGTATAAAAACATCATTAAACATCCTTGCCTTACCTGTCTTACAGAGTAGCCAGTGAGCAAGAGAAAAGTGATGGCAGGTAAGGAAGGATAGGCTGATTGGGGCTGGCATTTTTGATCATTAGTTTTCAAGGCTGATTATTTTCCCACCAGGCCTTATTTTTGGGGAAGGTGGGTAATTAACATTTGGTGCATATGCCTCAAAGCTCCACTTAAAAAAGGAAAAGTATTATAGAAATAGCTAATGCCTTGGTATTCATCTGTTTCTCCTCCTAAATGTGGGCACTCTTCAGAAATTGCCATGTTTTTCTCCAATATGTTTTTATGTATAAAATCCACTTTTCTCTTATTTTCTTTTTGTTTTGGAGGTCTTTTAAAATTTTTTACTGGAACATAATATTTGTACAACTTTACATGGAACATTATGGTAATTTGGTACTTATGTACAGGGCATAATTAAATCAGTGCAGTAAGCATTTCTATCACTTCAAATATTTGTTTTTATATGTATGTTGCAAATTTTGTACTCTTATTTTATAGTCATTTAAAAATATGTGAGATTGTTTTACTCATTATCCTATTGTGCTATAGAAAAAACCAAAACTCATTCCTCCTTTTGGTGTGTTGGTGCCCCTTATTGAACATCTTTCCACCCTCTCTCCCTCCCGCCCCTTTCCAATCTCTAATGGAAAGGAATACTGGTCACCTTATTTTCTTTACTCACATCATATTGTTGTTTTAGCTTTTAGTTAGGAAGTGTTGACTCTGGGTATGTAAATTCTATCTTTAGGTGCTAAGGCATCTATAATGAGTGTTAGCATAAGATATGATGATAAAGCAAAAACACATATTTAAGTAACAGATCTCTGGAAGACAAAGACTTTTGTATATTTTAAGTGATGGACTTTATCATCTTCAATGCAAGTGGATGCTTCTTAAATATGAAAAACTGACATCAGAAAATTGGAATGGTGATATGAACAATACCACGTATTAGATGTAGAGAGCTAACCTGTAAAACATCCTGAGATTCTAACATAAGGAAGGTCCATTTTAAAAAGGTAAGGAATTGAAATATTCTCGGATCCTAGTCCAGCTCAGTCTCAGGTTTACTGACCAGGACTGCTGCAAGTCTCTAGCACTCCCATCCTACCTGGCTCAGCTCTGGTGCTTATAAAGCCTCTGAATCTTCTCTTAGCCCAGCTCTGAATCTTGACCTGAAGAAATGCCAGCAGACATCATTTCCCTTGCTTTCTTTTGAAATCTTGCCATCCCACAAAGCCTCCTTATAGGTCCTCCATGTGCCACTGCAGCTTTCTTGCAAATGTCCTCCATTTGAAGACAAATGACTTTGCACTTCCGACTTGTTGCATTATTCATGCTTTTAGACCCAGAAACTAACTCCTCCAGGCATATTATTACTTCTGACACACATTTCTCATTTCCTTTACTTGTTTTATGTGGCTAGAACATAAGCAACTGTAAGTAATTTTAATAGCTCAGTGGCTTTTTATAGGAGATTTCTCTGGATATCTATTGTCATCTCATATAAAATGTATGGTATCAATTTTTCAGTTAAGGGAAAAGATTAATAAAAATGTAGGAAACTGAGAGAGAACAGTAAGAGTGCTGAACGTTAACTCTATGAAGTCCCACATGACCACCAGAAGCAGCACTTCCAGGGACAAGACCACTAAAAAATGATGACTTACTTGTGTATGTCACTTAAGGTTTTTATAAATCACTTTTGTTTATATTAGCTCATTTTCTTTTCACAGCAATAGAGGTTGGAAATATGCTGAAACTTAAAGCTTCAAACTACTGTTTATTTTAATGTGCCTCTATCTTCACAAATAGCATCCATTATAGAGTACTAACACAAAAAGGTAGATAGAAACTTGCCTTTCAGAATGCCAAGTCAAATGGGTAAGCACTGAAAGACAGGAGCCTTATGAAGATTGTGTTCTCCCCAGGGCCATGATCAGCAACTGATGTGGTCTCCTTGGCCATTGTTATCTTCCTAAAATATTGAAATTAGGATCATGCAACCTAGATATCTATAACAGTATATAGAAAGATTTATAGCCCTTCCCCACTTCTCTGTGAGTGGGCGTCTGTTGGCCCCGCCCCTTCGCAGCAGAGGAGCGGACCCCACTCCCTGCCTCTGGCC